CTCCAAATAAAATATAACAGCCAAACTCTCGCACGTAAAAAAAAAAACAAAAGTGGGACTGACCAGGGCTCTTTAAGGCTCCCTATTTTCCACTATAACACTGACTTAGACTTACCCATTCCTGTCCATAGTAATCTTGTAAATCATTAATTGACTTGTTATCCCATGGTTTTCTCAGGCCAAACAGCATTCTGGGAATAAATCCATTCTCTGCCATGATTACAAAGTACACAAAGAAGCCAGCTGTGGCCTGAAAACCAACAGGAAATAATGAACATGGGATAAGCACCACTTACAGCATACATGTACAAAATTGTGATTTTAAAAAATGAGTTCCTATTTCATTTAGCATTGACATTGACTGACTGATTTTGACCGACACAAACAAACACCATTACACACATGTTATGATCAACTTTCCAAACATTTGTGATCATTCAATTGGGTAAGGGTGCTTCTGAAAAGAATTCTTGTTGGTAGCTGACGTTTCAACAACCTGAGTGGATGGAAACTTCAGAGCTGGGTGAAAACTGTTCTCAATGGTGCTAGAAGCCCGGTTGGTTGAACCTTGATGATATTGGATGTAAAAGTTGTTTAAAGTTTATCTGCAGGGATTGGTCAGATGATGACAAACAGTTTTTACAGTTTCTTCTTGACTCTGAACATGACTTCTGCTCAGGTTGACGAGGTCAGTCACTGACAACAGTTCTTGCAAGAACTACATGTACCTCAAACCAGACAATTACACTAGATGAACTAGTGATTCCAACACTGACAATTCCACCTTGAAATATCAAAATGGAACTTTGCAAACAGCAAATAATACTCCAATCTCACTCGAGGGAAAACAACTATTTGCTTACCTGAATCATGCCAATTTGACCATAGGCCATGGCAATCAGCCTGACAATCAAATCAACAGGAAGTCCATTAGTATAGGTATTTACATGCTGCACTTACAGTGCAAATCTAAATATACTGTGAACTCTATTGTTATTGCATGTGTTGTAAGGGCAAGTCAAACAGATACAAGTTAAATAGTAATCTGCAAGCTGTAGTGACAGTTAGCTTTGTGGCTTGTGGTTTGATCTACTATCTGATTGGTCACCGCACAAATGTTCACAGTTTCCAGATTCACATGGTAAATGCAGGTCTAGTGCATTTTAAGACTGGTGTTTGTTAATTTGTCAAAGTCAGAGAAGATTTTTCCATCGTACTTCTTGTCTGCTGTGTCAGAAGGAAGGCAGCATGGTGTTCTCATCACTTGTCAGGCGAGAAAATCCATGACACTTCATCATAGACAGACATGTCAACACACATGCGCACTTACATGAACACTTGCCAAACTCTGAAATGCTACTCATCAAGTTTGGACTTCATCCCAACTCCAGTACCAGTATAGAAGATTTAAGTTTAGTTATATGACCTAATGTATGTGTAAAATGGGTAATGTTACGAAGATGTACTGCAACACACTGATGATGACCTACACGTAAATTAGGGTGGTGCAGTGCAATTCAAACAAACATGATGTGCAGCAATCGCACACAAGTCACTCACCTTTCATTTACAAGTTTGTCATTAATTGGATCACGAGGCTGGCGCTTCATGATGTCTGACTCAGCCTTTTCATAAGCAAGTGAGATGGCAGGAACCTAAGACACACCAAAACATCTATTTGAGCATAATAGAGGAAAAAGAAGAACTTCAAACTATGGTTCTCTTCTATTCACGGGGAGGTAATAGAGGAAACTATGGGTCTGAAAATGCTATGCTGACCTTTTGGAAACCAATCATCAGACTTCAACAAGACTTAATACTAAAACTCTCATAATGTTCAGGTGTGGCACCTTCATTCTATTGAGAGAAGGTTCACATACCATGTCTGTACCCAAGTCAATACACAGAATGGTTACTGTGCCAAGAGGAAGAGGAATGTCCAAAATGATGAACATGAGGAAGGGGCTGATCTCAGGGATGTTACTGGTCAGTGTGTAGGCAATGGACTTCTTCAAGTTGTCGAAGATCAAACGACCTGAAGAAAGAAAGAACCTTTTTGAGCTGCATGGCACTATTCAATGCTCAAACCTCAAAACAGCCATTCTGAGCTAACAAGTCAAACAATCTATTGTATGTAAACTAGTTCAAAGTTAAACTGTGTGACCACGTAATTTTAATAATCACAAATTAAGGTTTTTTTCAAATTAATGTACATGAAATCAAAGCATGATTTCATGCACTTCATCTGACAGACTGAGGCTCTAAGCAATTGACCGTAAAAGAAATTTGACTCAAACAAATATTAACAAACAACTTTTGCATGATAATAAATTCTGTCTGTTGAGTCAGAAGGAAGGCAGCATGGTGTTCTCATCACCTTTCAGATGAGAAAATCCATGACACTTCATCATAGACAGACTTGGTAGTGAACTAAAACAAACCTAAGACTGCATACCATTAACAGATTACAAAGGCACAATCTTTCAAAACTACATCCCCAATAAGCGAAACCTCAACTTGGAAATCAAAACTACATTCATGTAACAATTATTAGGTTAAGATACATACACACCTTCTTCAACTCCAGTGACGATGGAAGCAAAGTTGTCATCCAACAAGATCATGTCTGCTGCCTGTTTGGATACATCCGAGCCAGCAATGCCCATTGCAACACCTGGCAAAGAAACACAGGACATGAGAATGATAATCCCAGTTTAAATCGAAAGCGAGAGTTTCATGCTAAAGTTGATCAGTTTACACACCAATATCTGCTCTCTTCAAGGCTGGAGAATCGTTGACACCATCTCCAGTCACAGCAACAATGGCACCCTGTCGCTGACAGCCTTCTACAATGATCAACTTCTGCTGTGGAGAAGTTCTGGCAAATACAATCTCTGTGTGGTGGGCCAGAATGTCATCAATGTCTTCTCTAGTCATATCCTATAATAACCACAAATTCAAAGGTTGCTCAACTAAACATATCACTTCCAAGCCACTCTATCTTAATGGAATTGTTCTAGTCAAACCTCAGAATCACTTGAGCAGGAGAAAAACAATGGACCTTATGACAATAGCAGGGATATCGCTGGTTTATTTCTCCAGGGAGAGAGCTTATCACTGGCTGAAATTTTGCAAGACCTTAAAAACCTTAAATCTAAAGGTGCACTGTACCATGCAACCCCTAGTGTAGTGTTAAGGATAGATGACGATGATGATGATGATGAGGATGATAATAATAATGATAATGATGATGATAATGATGACGAGAAGTGACGATGATGACACCTCTGAAAGAGACCTCAGCTTACTTAAGCTTTTGTCATCTATCCTATCAGTGCCTGGGTGGCACAAAGGTCTTCAGCAATTCTTCGCCACTCAATCCAGTGGACAGCAACGTGGCAGACCTCCCCCAAATCTTCTGTTCCAGCTCCTCATCTCCTTCCTTTACAGCCAATCTATCTCATATTTTAACCAAGGTTTGTGTGCTGTAAATTTTTCACTAACCTTCAGCTGTTGTCCATGAACAATGATGGCCTTCGCCTGTCTTGGGTTGACCTCCTCAACTGGAATGTTAAGACGAGTGGCTATGTCCTCTACTGTCTCAGTTCCTGAAATAATAATGCAATCATTTTAAATCTATTTTCCACATTCAGTAATTGCCTTCCAATGTTTATGCACACTTGATAGTCATGTCCAACAGCTTACAATAAGGACCCTTGAGCCATGAACACCTGTCATTTTTTCGCACTTTTTTCAGAGATGAAAGAGCGAAGGCTCTTCTTACAAATGTACAGGATCTGCATTTTTACAGTGTAAAAACATTGAATAATCTTGTTAGTATGAAGAACCCTCATACTATAGTCACTAAAAAAATGTACAAAAAATGTCAAATGTTCACGGTTCAAGTGTCCTGACTGTAATACATGTTGATGTTTTGAGTTATATACTGTAGAATCATTGTATTTCTTTTTCCTGTGAAAAACGATGTGCCAATTTCTGGTGTTGCTGTAGGTTCACTGACCTTTAACCAATGACAAAAGCTTAAATTGGTACAGTTGACAGATTCTGCAATTCTGATTTTTTTTTTTTTTTGCAGTAACTGCACAAATTCTGCCGCACTCATTGGTCATTTTCATTCTCAATAAGCGGACAGACACATTATTTATAATTTATGCAATGTGTTAACGAGCAAGAGTGGACAATTTGACAGTTTGTTAACCTAAAAACTAAATTGTTCTCAGTTTTTGATGGGTCTGTCCTGTTACTGACAATGAATTTCATCATAACATTGTCAATGTAGTCTACGGATCCACTTGGCTATCGCCTCGTGGATCAACAGCTACTTTGACAATATTATGACAAAATTCATGATCAATGTTACAAACTCGTAACTACAGTCGTAAATTTGTGAATTTGCTTATTGATCTATCGAAAAACATATCCGCTGCAAAAATGACACATGTCGTAACATATATACAATTAATTTGATCATAATATAAAACCTGGAAAATCAAGTTGAAATCAAGTATGATCTGTACAAACAAAACCAAAACTTTGAGACTAAATGTTACATAACAATTATTGTCACACGTGACTGTTCGTGACAATCAATAACAGGACAGACTCATGAAAAACTAGTGTCAATTTGTTAAACTGACCAATAAATGAAATCTAACTGTAACTGGCTAGACCTCTGGGCAGGAATGTAACCAGTGGAGACAAACGTTGTGCAATGTGTAGTCTACAAAACAGCTGGGATGAAGACTAGCCCTTAGAACACCAACCCTCAAGTAGGAGAGTCACTTAGGGCAGGCTACAAACTTATTTCTCCTGCTGAAAGAGGACTTAAATTCAGCTGCAATTTTACATGAAGACAAAAAATTCAGTAACCTTTGCAGCTGCCAAGGCCAGAAAAGCAGGCTGGGCTCGCTAATGAGGCGGGTTAGAGTTTTCTTAACTACATCCCTGCTCAAGCGATGATATCTTCAGATCATAATCTCAAGACACTATTCCTTACATGATAAAAATATCTTCTACATGTAGTAAGTATTTCTCTTCTATGGTGGACAATAATATTGTATAGTCACTGACAAGTAAATTACGTTTTCAACTCCATTGGAAATGTAGAAAATATCATTTAAGGCATAACTCTTTTTCACCTTCTGAAATGATTCCAACTCCTTTAGCAATGGCCTTAGCTGTGATTGGATGATCACCAGTGACCATGATAACTTTGATTCCTGCACTACGGCATTTGCTTACAGCATCAGGAACAGCAGCACGAGGAGGATCAATCATGGACATGAGACCAACAAAGCACAAGTTTTCAAGTGGGAAATTAGGAGGCTGTAAACAAACAGACATTTTATCTTTCAGTACATGGTAAATGGTCTCTCCAACCTCCACCTGCCCACTGTAGAAAACTTCTCGTGAGAACAATTTATATATTTAGTAGCCTTTTGCTCCCCATTAAAGAAATCTTAAGAATATTTTTAATTAGTAACATTATTCAGTAATTTGCTCGTCATCAAAGAAGGTATTAAGTATGGCATTTATCAGTGTCTTCATTCAACACAACATCAATAGCAGTGCAACAAAAAAACAAGAAATTCCACAAGGGGTGCAAAATTACTGCCAGCAGTCTTCCAGTTAAGAATTGGTCTGCTAGGAGTCTTATTACTAACTCAACAACATGACGAGGCAGAAATTATGTTTATTTGCTTATGAATAACTGTTTTAAAGTTGATGCAAGTCTGAATTTAGCAACTGCACATGAAGATTTCTTTCTTCTTGTGTTAGTCTTTGCCTTACAAGTAGCAGAGGACCCAAGTATCCAGGTGTCTGTGCTATTGGTAAATAAACAAGCTCACAGGATTAAGTTCCTTGCTTTTCAACTGCTGAGAACTCTTTCACTTGTACATAATTCATTATATGCATGGTGGCAAGCAAAACTTTAACATTTAAACTTGGCACAAGATAGAATGTACTCACCTCATCTGTAACAAACTCAAAACCTGGCGGGAACTCTTCCAAGGGCAAAAAGAAATGGCAGAAACCAAGAACACGTTCACCCATGCCTCCCAGCTCAAGGTAAGCAGTATTAAAAGCTTCCTGCATCTTCTCGTCAAGCTCCTTTTCTTCACCGTTGAATAGGATGGTTGAGCAGCGATCAAGGATTCTTTCAGGGGCACCCTTCATCACAAGAATATAGCGCTTGTCGTCAGGATCAGGATTCTCATGGATTGAGACTTGGTACTTGTTAGTGGAGTTAAATGGAATCTCGGCAATCTTATTGTGTTTTTCTCTAATTTCTTTCACGCTTCCCTCTGACAATTCAATGTACTTCATCAAGGCTGATTCCGATGCATCTCCTGAACAGTCCCTGTTCAAACATACCAAATTAATTGTCAATCACCTGATGGCCCACTCAAGAGTGTGCAGTTTCAAAATAATACACACAAAATTTAGCTCTGCATTCATTTTGCACAATGATTACAATACATGTATGAACACACAGAACGAACATGAACATGAATAAATCAACTTGCTAGGGTAAATGGCAATAGCCCTTTTTCACAGTTAGCTTAAAACAATTATTATGAATTGTCATTAAAATACAATCTAACTTGGATTTGAAGCAATTTTGGCAGAAACTGCCCAAAATTGCACGCATCCACGTTGGATTTTCACTGTTTGTAATGAGTGGGGTGAATAGGGTTTCAGATTGATGGATGTGGCCTTAAAAAGCGCACGGATTATGGATTTTTGCAGTAAATTGAGTGGATTCGCGGATTTTGAAAACAGAGTGGATCGAGGATCTGTAGCTGTAAATTATGGCACGGATTCCAGATTGTGCCTGTATTGATGTTCAGATCTTGGGTCCTAAACAAAATTTGGATCATAGATCTTTCTTCAACCTTAAGCTCAGGTGTGAGACTGTTATGGGAATTGCACTATGTTATAGCCATCAAGTATGCTGCTTTCTTTACTATTTGTGTGAAATTAACAATGGCATTCACATTTACCAGTTTACTTTTGAACTTTTATACTTCTGTTTCTGGATGTGATTGTGGTTTCGGATTTGAACAAAAATATTGGCAGATCGACAGATTTGGTGCAAAAAAGGCACTAACTGGCGGATTTGCATAGCCCTATTCACCCCCTCCCCCTCTCCGTAATGAACTGTGAAAGGGGCTTTTCCATGAAATTGTACCTCTTTAAGATTGGGATATGATCCTGGTCTGCTTTAAACACAGCTCTGTTGCACAGCGCAGCAATACGAGCCAGAGCTTTCCATGTATCTGATGTCTGCAACAAAAAAAAAGATGACAAATTAAGTTGCCACAGCCATCAAATCTCAGTAACATTGAGAAAACCAGCCAAGAAACTCATGAGCCATTCTTAATTTATTACATGTACATGTCTCATGCTCACCGTGACCTTTGAAAGTCTGCGTTTCATAACTAGGAGTCGAGCAATATAACACAACTTACCATAAATCCAAGAATGATCTTAAATAAATAAATATCTTAATTTACCACTCTTTCATTTGGGCTTTTCAGGGTCAGCAGAAACAAACGATGAAACAAATAAAATGTAAATGAACATAACATGGTTAAAAATCCCAACTGGCTGGAGGCATGCAGACCAGTTGGCTCTTTAAAAGACTGGCCAAGAACTGAAGAGAACTTGAGACTACTGAGAAAAGCACCAGCTAGTGGTCAGAACAGGACTTGAACCTGTGATCTCCTAATTTCAATTCCAGTGCCCTAGCCACTAAGCCACCCAACAATAATTACAACTTGTGAAATTCATCTTCTACACAATGTATTTTCACAAAAGGATGTGGTCACACAACAACCCAAGACCTGTTGGTGAATAAATCATAAGCTAGAGCACTTTACCACCAAGAACACAGAGTGCATCTCACCTTATTGTGCGACACTCCTGACTGGTCTTCGGTTGTGTCAGCTTCAATCGTTACATTATCGAACCACATATGAGCTAAAAATGTAACAACATTACACCAAGTGATTGACTATCCAACAAACTGATGTACATGTACCTTTTACAAGGCTGTCAATAAGTTTTGATTCATGTGTAGCCTTAACTTCACACCCATGACAAACTAGTTACTCAATGGGTGAATTCATCTACAGAGTATAGGCAAGTTTAGCAATAACATCAAAGGCCCATTAAACATACTCAGCCATAAAAGGTGTAATGATAACAGCCCTTAATGACAGCCTTGCTTTTGAAAGTATTAGTAAGAATCAATACTCTTTACATCCTGCAAAACATGCCATTATTTAATAATTCTTGACATGGTGCATGGAGAAGTGAAAGGTATATACATTGTAAATCAGCAATAGCAAGCATTTTCTTACCCACTGTCATTCTGTTTTGCGTTAAAGTTCCAGTCTTGTCAGAACAAATGGTTGATGTACTTCCAAGAGTTTCTACAGCCTCAAGATTCTTTACCAAGCAGTTCTTGGAAGCCATTCTCTTGGCAGTAAGTGTCAAACATACCTTCGCAAAAAAGAACAGAACACATTCAGCAAAATGAGTAAAACCTGGGACAATCAAGAGACTAGTTGGTGTACTTACATTTGCTACTGTTGGGTTTATTTTAAACTACAGAAAGCTAAGGAGAGTGCAAACTGAAAACATATAAGTAAAGAATCTTAACAGGTGAGAAACTAGCTACTGTATACATGTACATATGCATGAATTGAACTCAGAACTGCAATGCAACAAATTTAGCTACAGAGTGTTTTAATAGTGAACAAAGGGGAAGACTTAAACATAAGAAGTACAAACTTCAAATAAAGCAGGTCATGTCTTTCCCCTCTGAGATTATGTTGTATGATAATTATTTCATGCCCTGAATGGCAATATCACCTTTTGAGTTTACAAGCACAGGATTCGGCCGCAAAATTTTGAGTTTTTCTTGTAACCTTTTCTTTCTACTGATTTGTAAGATGTAAATGTTACACTTAGCATTGAAAATACATGAAATTTTCATGTTGGAAGACACTCATCAGAGTGATCAAACTTACAAGGAGAGCTTCAATATGTACTCACTGTGACAGTAGCAAGAAGCCCCTCTGGTACGTTAGCCACAATGATACCGATTAAGAAGATGACAGCCTCAAGCCAGTGATATTTCAGGATGAAAGCAATGATGAAAAACGTGACTCCAAGGAAAACAGCCACACCGGTAATAAGGTGAATGAAATGTTCAATTTCAATGGCAATTGGAGTCTTGTCACTTCCAAGACCACTGGCCAAGTTAGCGATACGTCCCATAACGGTGTTATCACCAGTCTGAACAGCGATACCCATGCAGTTCCCTTCCAGTCCATTTGTTGAGAAGAAAGTCAGGTTCCTTGTCTCCAGGGGATTCTCATTTGTACAGTCGGGTCCTCTGCTCTGTGGCTCAGATTCACCAGTAAGGGAAGAGTTGTCTACCTGCAATGCAAAATAACAATATGTAAATTATTGACAGAGATCGGTCAACTCTCCCATTTGATGGTAAAAACTCTCTTAAGTGAAAAAGGGTGTAGTGACAGCATTTCATTTACATACTCAATCAAAGTCATAGCCTATGAGAGGTCAAATGAAAATCCTTATTAATACCAGATTCAACACCTATGCCAACTCTCCTGAATTATCTGGCAGTCTCCCGAATACAGACTGAATCTCCCGGTCTCCAGTACAGGTTCATCCATTCACAAAAAAGAATTTAACCTTGAATTCTCCTGACCAACTGTCCACAGAGTGGTGTATGTTAAGAGCTAATTATGACTGTGACCGAACCTCTGCTTATAGACATTGACCCACTGGATACCTAATACTATGTCTGCTACATGTATTACGACGTCAATACAGTGTTTGTGTCCATCTGCGACTCTGCAGCAGGACTGAGATAAGGTGTAGGAGAGAGGAAAGAAAGAGAGATGACAATAGTCATTAAAAACTGGATGATTGGATAACACAATTTGAGAATTTTCATTGGCTTAGCCATGATGGGTTATGAGCCATTATACCATGCTCTACGAATGTGGTAAGCACATACATGATTTTTTTGTGCATTTTATTTTTATTTTAGTTTAGTTTTCTATATTTTGAGGGCATTTTTAATAAAACAGTTATTCCAATCACACTTGTTGGATTTGAGATGATTATCGTCAACTTGGCACAACGCACCTCATTAGCTATCTATCACTTCATGTCCAATGCATGCTACAGTTGTAGTGGAATAATTGTTAATTAAAGGGTTGTGGCTAAGAAACAACCTCAGTTAATTTAATCAAGCTGCATTACATGTAGATGCCAATGGTGTTTGTCTGCTACGTGTAGGTTAAAGTTTTTCCTGCCAATAAAGTTCACATGCAGTCAGACCTACAGCTACCACTAAGTTATACCTGCAAACTAAACAGTCCTGTTGTTCAAGAAAAACTTGATTGTCTCAAAAAAAATACATTCTCCTTATTCTCTTCTCTTAACACAAAATTGTGGCAAAGTGAATTTCAAAGAAATCCTTTCCAGTAGAATTGTTCATTACCTTGAAACCTCTGGCTTCCACTACTCTCAGATCAGCAGGTACTCTGTCGCCACCCTTGACAAAAATAATATCACCGACAACAACTTGTTCTGCATTGATTGTGTGTCTTTCACCACCACGCAAGACGTGCGCCTCTTGTGGAACCAGATTCTTGAAGCTCTCCATGATGCGAGAACTCTTGGCTTCCTGAGGTTGTCAAAGATAAATATCACATTTTGAACAGTCGTTCTTGAAACAATAACAAAGCAAATTAAAATTACTAATAAATACTTCACTAACTACTTTACTTTTAGGATACAGAACTGGGAAGCGTCAGTACACACAAGAGAACCCAGGACCTTAACTGAAACTGTTCCTTAACCCTATTCCATACTACAGGGTTCGTACCCTTTTTCAAAAACAAATTTCCAGGACTTTTCCAGGACTCACATTGATTTTTCCAGGACTCTAAAATTCATATTAACCCTTTCACTCCCAAGATCTCAATGCTAATTCTTCTTACTGTCTGCCATACATTTCATATTTTCACTTGAGTTTAACAGATTTCCAGAACTTTCAAGGACCAGGAGCCCTTTTCCAGGACTTTCCAGTCCTGGAAAATGCCACAGTAAAATTCCAGGACTTTCCAGGTTTTCCAGGATCTGTACAAACCCTGATACTACTTCCCTGATACTACTTATTTCAAATCAAATTAAAATCACATTGTTTGCAACTCAAGACTTAATACCAATTTCAAAGAGCGTTCTTAATCCACATACCTGATAATAAGAGAAGATTCCAGTAACAAGGACAACAGCAGACAACACAATTCCAAGGTACAACTGAAAAACAAGGGAAAAGAAAGTTTTTAATCCCACGAGTGCCACACCATTGTGCATGCTATGTGCCACACCATTTTCCCTGAAAATCGGTGTCTAGTTAAAAGCAACTGATAGATTGAAGCTTTCTCATTTAAACCACACTTGTAAACATTTTCTGAAAGGTCATAGCTGTCTAGTTTCAATGCGGTTAATTCCTCAGTGGTTGATGTAAATTATTTGATATCCATATGACATCACAGCAGTGGGAAATTAAAAACCTCCTACAAATCTCAGGAGCCGATAAAAGTTGTTTCCGGTCTGCTGGGAGTTTATAATAACTAAATCTCTTACAATGTTGATGCACTCAGTATGTCACATGGAAACCTGAGGGGTAAAAATTTTGATATACTCCTGATGTACTAAATACGTCATATACATATAGGCACTCAAGGGGTTAATGAAACAAAGATGCCATACATAAGTCATACAAAGGCCTAAATTTCCCACAAATCCAGAGAGAAGCTGGTAGCATGTCCATCGATGTTTTCGTGTACTTTACTTGCCTTAAAACTAGTACCAAAGTCTGTCACGCGAATTTAGTCATAAGTACGTACATTATCTTTCGGTGGCTCTTCCTCTGTAGCTATTAGAATGCCGTAGGCAAAGAAACAGAGAATAGCTCCAATCCACAGCAACATGGCAAAGCCACCAAACAACTGCCGACAAAACTTCACCCATTCAGGGGTTGTAGGTGGAGGGGTCAGTGCATTTGGACCATCCCGCCTAAGAACTTCCTCAGCTTTTTCTTTTGTTAGACCCTGTAGAAGACACAGTTTAACTCCTTAATGTGCTATTTATTAACCTAATAAAGAAATGTTTTTTGTAAAAAAAATTCTCCGGATATCAAAACTACATCTCCCAAATAACAAAAGTGCTAAATCTAAGTCAAAATTCTGAAGAGAAGTCTGATAAATATGATTGAAACTTGGTACTCAAACCATCCACCATTACCCAAATTAGAAAACTCTGAATTTGAAAGGAGTATTGGGTAGAAAACAGAGCCATTGTCATAGTCACAACAAAAAACCCCTAGAAAACACTGCTAAGTTAGTATGCAGAGTGGAAGAACGAGCACTTTTCATTCTTTGCTGTACTCACATGTTGTGATTATGACATCATGGACAAACCTGCCATCATGATTTTGTGGGCTCTTTAGGTTTGTTGTTCAAGCAATGATGGACAAATTGTTTACAGTTTTGTAACGCTTGTTTTAGGGAACTACATTGCCAGGTTGGAAAAACGTACACTGATTATAAAAAATTAAGTTCTTATTTTAAAATTACATGTAAATTATATGTAAGAAAAACAAACGGGGAAATAAATACAAAATTTTAGTCACAGTAAGACTGAAACTAAACAAAATTAATAGCGTTTTATTACAGGGTATCAATAAGTATAAAGTGAAAAATATCAGGAACCCTGCAGTGAAGCAAAAAGGTTCTGAAGTAAAATAGCCCACCAACTATGAAAATTTTTTCCACAAGTTTCTGAAAGCACAGCAGCTTGTTCTTAATATGTTACATTGGGCAACACATTTAGTTGTTTTGGTGTACAGACTGTGTTTATAAATTTAAGATGGCTATTTAAAACAAGTCCAAGGAAAGATTTGTGTTACTCTTCCTATCAAACCTCCAAGGATATACACACAGAACTAAAAACATGGGTTTTTTAACAGGGACAGCAAATGTAGTGAAGATCTTTGTTATGAAATCTTGAGCCACGCAATCTTTTATCACCATATCGTTAGGGTACGATCAAAAGCACAATCACAGATGCAAGTGATGACATTTTTTTTGGTCAGCTACATGTACATATCCACCATTAATATCATGTGCATGTGCCTGTAACTGAATGTGTAAGACATGAACAAGCAAAAATGATAGACAAGGAAAGGATTTGCTGGTTCAGATTGTTAACATTCCTATTATTTGATTAGCAAACTAATACAGTGAAGTCTCTTTACAAACTGTTGACAAAACACTACTGATGCAAGTTGTATATCTATAGTTGCCTTCTAACAAGTTTCCTATTAATCATTTCAATGACCATTTTCGAATACAAAAATGAAATCCTAGAAATGTGTAGAACATGTTAACGATATTTGCATAGCTATTCTCACGAAAGGAAACATGAAAGTTCAAGTACTTGAAACATATCATCTTCAGCTCTTGTTTTTGCTTGCAAATGACACGGCAGGAGCCCATAAAGTGAAGCTTATTTTTAGGAACAGAATGAACCTTACATATACACACATAGATACCCTGGGAATTGCTCGTGAATTCATGGGACCATAAAAGAGAATTCTACAAATATTCATAGAAAATAAACTCAGGCAAATAGTTTGCTCAGGAATTTACACCCCAGAAAACAGATTGAAAGCCTCGAATGTGCCAGTGTTTGGTCATAACATGAACTTGTTCCGATGTTGCTGTAATTTACAATTCGATCCGCACGTCTGTGGAGAAAACGTTCAACCCACAGACTTTGAAACCAGAATCGGAAATCCCATTCAATGATTGGAAATCATGAATAATAGATGAGGTTAATATTATTACTGAAATCCAACGTTTGCTTAAGTTCATGTAAAAACATACATACATGTTTTAATTACGTGTACCGGCTCGCGCGATCGATTCACTCAAGCGAATCGGAAGGAAGCGACGAAATCAACACCGATGTTTAATTTCCGTTCTGGCTGCAAGCCTTGTCAAATTGACTACAGTTCTCGATAGGAATTCACATCCTCTATTACAATCGACGTTTATATCGAAATTGCAATCCTTGCAAATGAAATGTTTAATTTTTGAACATGGACAGCTGATAAGAGATTCAAAATGCAGAAAACAATTAAAAAATGCGAAAGTAGGGACTTGAAATTGAAGGTTGTAAGCAAATGATTACAGTACGATTTGTCAGGTCAAAATCGGACCAAAAGTATAAGCTTCACCTTGTAAACCAATTGATCAAAACGAATCCAGCCATTCATTAACTACCACTTTATCAACCAACAAATTAAACAAGAAACGATCGACGTAGAAAAGTGAAATATGTAGTGAACGAAGGTATTATAAGCGGGGGTGATTCACCACAGCTTTGTGTACATTTTTAATGCCTCGAAACACGACAAAATTTGCATACAGCGTAGTAAAGCCATCGAACCCTTATTTATAGTGGAGTAATCTTCTTACATAACCGATTTTATTCAACACGATTTCAAGAATACACAGCTCGTTCAAAGGGGCTGTCATCCTAAGCAATACAATAAAACCACTTTTAAGGGTAAAATGGACAAGTGTGTACACAAGACTGTATTTTCCCTTACCGTTTCTGTGCTGGTTTCTAAACGTCTGCAAACTTCTTCTAAAGAGATCGTATGCCAATCCTACCAAACGAAAACACGAGGATTTCAGTTTCATTTCACTCAGATTAGAGCTCAGCAATGAAATGCGCTTCTTACAATTTCTAGTTCCTTCTTCAGGTCTTCGAGGTTTTCCTTCTTTGCCTTCTTCTTGGCCTTAGACTTAGAAAGCTTCGCCGGTTTCTTTGCGCCATCTTTGCCTTTGCCACCATCGTCGACTAAGGGTGTCGTAGCTACCCGGTAGCTCTGGCTTCTACCAAACTAGAAAATATAAGAAATTAAAGCATTAGTCTCTGTCACGAAAGACGAAGAAGTTCTTGAAAATTCAAATGAGTTTACTATACACCTCCTCGTCCAGTTCAGTAACGTCGGCCATTTTGGAACACAACCCTGTGGAAACCCACGTGGATCATTAAAGCGTTAAAATGGCTGTCAATCATAAACCACGTGAGCACTTCATTGGGAAACTACAGCTTGCCCAAACCAACATGGCCGACGCAAAAGGCCCGCAGAAGCATGCTAAAAACTCATTTCAATGCTTTGCAGCCAGCCAAATATCACATTTCTCGATATTTTAGGCAACGAATTAGTTTGGCGCTATCGCTGCGATACTGCCAAGCGAAAAATCACATACCAAAACATTACAAAGTCCACAAAATGGACTCTGATATGTTTAATTTTCGTACGCCCCTCCGGTAACTAAAAAGACACTGATAAGAATTTGATCACGCCTGGATGTAACCTGGGATCATAAAAATAAAAAGGCTTATAAGATTTCAAAAAAGTGTGACGTTGGAAGAACTATCATTAACTTGATGCTGAAAACTTATATTGCTGCAAAATTCATATTACCTGCCAAAAATATATATTAATATGCATGATTGTTAATCGCATCAAATATACTTTTTATTGTCTTTGAAACTGCATGCTTAAAAAAATTATTGCTTTCTTTACCAACAGGCTCCCTCTTGTCTATGATAAAGGACTTGTGTTTTATGAACACTTAAAAATATTTACGTAAGATGGCACAATGCGATACTGACTTCAAAATGCAACAAGGCTTGGAATATAAACGCTGCCACGGAAACGGTGAAATTATTTGTTTTTGCAGGCCTGAAGCCATATTGAAGTTAAATATAAAATGATTTTCCATGACAGCTGATTTTTTAAATCCCCTTTTAATAAAAAATAAACGTTTAGGCTGTCACGGTTTTCAGTGACGGCTGTCCTGAAGCCGAGCGCCAATACATTTTTAGGTTTTAAGTATTGTGATGGTTAATAAATATAAAGATTGAATCGTATAGTGTTAAGAACATTTATTTTCGTTTCGATATAGCTTTGTGCACTTGTCGTCACGAGGTATAACCAATACATTCAGCCATTTTGAAGCTTATAAAGCATAATTAACGTTATTTATTAATGAGCTTTAAATTTTGCTTGTGGCACTTTGACTTCGTGTAAGTCACATCGCCACGTCTTGTATTCATTGTGACGTTTAATCGACTCCTTAATTTTCTTTAGTTATGGCAGACATTGTGAGAAATAAGGAAATGAGCGAATATCAGATCAATATTTGTCCAAAAGATAAAAATCAATTGTCTATGATCTTAATGTCATGTTGAGCTACACTTTGACGAGGTCACATCAAATCAGCTACGTCATATAAAGCACGTGATGTTCATGTGCTCAACTCACCGGCAAATGTTAATGTACTTGATGAAGTGCGTGATATTTCAATCGCCAGCTAGAAAACTTACAATTAAACTCATTCATAGCTTCTAATAAGATTTCTTTACAGATCTAAACTTTAAAAACAAAAAGCGCTATTTTAGACTTAAGATCTTTCATTAGTTCTGCTAGCTGTAACAGACAACTGGCGAGGTTAGTCGTCGGTGCTAAATACCCCGTGGTGAGCCGGCACCCAAATCGCTCGATCCGGTGCTTTTTTCCGAATTTGCTCTCGTTGACGAACATACCTCTTACTACGTTTAAATCATCTTGCAGTTCGCCGTTAGATCAAGTCGTTAAGAACTTTTTCGTGTATCACTAGATTCTTGAACAGATTGCTTTAACGAACTCCCCTCTCAGTAGCGAACCGGCTTCGCCAGCCGGAAACCGTGTACCCCAGACTACATATTCCATCACTAAGAGTTTTAAAAGCATTTTCCAGATTAGACGGTACAAAACTTTACAGAACAACACAGGTATAAAAAAACAACTAGCCAGAGGTACGTTTTCCCAGTGGCATCTGCACAACTAACGCGACATGACCGTTAAAACGCTGAACACCCTCGGACGCCGGCCGAACAACTGAACGGCACTTAACGCCGATCTGAGTAACTATAAATACTTTACCAAGTTCTCTTTTTCCTCCGCGTTTCCCTTCGCCCCCTTTCCACGCGCAGCTTTGCTCATGATCTCTGTTTACCAGCCGTGGAAGCCTGGCAAGACCGAACGGTTGTCAGTTAAACCTCCCGGACGAGAAGCAACAGAGTTCGTCAGTCTTAGTGAGTCGTAGCACGCTTGAACTGGTAAAGACTCTCGATAGACGCAGCTATACCATAAAGTCACTGGGCCTTGGAAAATTACCAGGTCACTGAATACAGTATAAGCAAATGAGCGTTGAAGGCCAATGGGAGAGCAGGTGATTGTGATATTGCCGGTTTGGTTTTTTCGACTTTGTATTTGAACCCAATATGCGTCAATCAAACAATCTATATTATTCCTGTTTTATACAATACTCCGTGTAATTTATTACTACGAATTGGAATTTCTGATGAAGAAACACAATGGAAACTTCGACGTTATATTGACCTCCCACATTCTCTTCGTCACACTAAGTTTGCCGTGGTTTCAAGAAAATGCTCTTGTTTGTTCCTATTTGTTTTAGTGAGCTTTTAAACGCGTTGCGCCATGAAAATGGCTTCTGCAGGTTAAGCCGGTGCCGAGTCTTGCCAAGCGAAACAATAAATTCCTTTTAAAGTCGTCAAACTATTTTGCTTTCATGCACCGTTGATCCGAACCTCCAGGCATTTTAAGCAATGATCAGCAAAGTCTTCCAAAGGAGCCAATGATAATTGATATTTTGGGAAAACACGCTCTACAAAAGTCTCAAACTTGGGAATTTTGAAACTTATCTTTGAAAGAAATTAGGAGCTCAGAGAGTAAAACATTAGAAAGAATGGCAGATTCGAGAGAATGCTTTGAACCCAAATTAAATTTAGCAGTGCTTGGTTATTCATCAATCATGTATGCTAATTTTGCCTAAGTTACCTTGTGTGGCAGAGTGTTATGTAATCATGAGCTTGTCAGCTACAAATCATCTTTAATCCGGACAGAAAAAAAGGTACATGAGCACACAATCAGCTTAAAAATATCTCATTTATTTTGTCCTACGATCGCAGTTAGTCACAGATCAAAGATGTCGAGTCAGTTCAGCCCATACTAAAAACAACGCAATGAGTTTATGCAAATCAATTGAGCAGCGAAGCCAAAAAGCCCCAAGCTGTTTTATGCTGTGATCCACTGTTTAGGCTGGATGCAATGAGGCCGAGAATCTGGGGTCCCGGAACGGGGATTCCAATTACGAAGTGTCGTAATTAAAGGGATCATGATTCAGAGGTAGGGCACTAAAAAGAGCGAAACCGT